TGTGTTTATCTCTCCCTGTGCGATGCGGTACTCCTATCCTCTCCCCTTTCCTTCTGTGAGTGTATGGGCATGTGCAGAAGTCCATGTGAGTGAGTGTTGGCCTTCAGGCAACGAACAACCAGAATCATAACACGCTCCCCGGAATGGATATGGAGCCAGGGCCGTAAGGTCCTATTTTTCAGAAAAATAAAATAACTGAGTTGCAGAGAAGAGTTGCTCGAAGTTGATTGAACTTGATTCCTTGCATTGACAAATACAGGCAATTAAATGGATGGAAATAAGAGAATGGGGAGCAGGAACCTGCCTGTGGATTAAATCGGTGTGCTGATGTGGCAGTTGGGAGGGACTGCCAGACCTCCCACAGCCTGTCAATATTGGAGTGGTGCACATAAAACACAGGATCTCTGCTTGCTGTCCCAAGGTCTCCCATGTCATGATAAGGGAAGAACTGCACACCTACAGAAACGTGCACAGCCCCATGTGGGCCAAACTGGGATGCAAGAGGCACACAAAAAAATCGTCAACAGGTCGAAAACGAGAAAAGAAAAGAGCAGGCAGATCTCACATCCAAGATAAATGTTAAAAAACTTCAAAAAAGATAAAAAGAAAAGCTAATTTTTTCAATGAATCCATTCTTAGAAGCTCACAATAACATCACCCTGCATGAATCTCACGACGCTTAAGGATTGGCAATCTTGACAAGATAGCAAGTGAGCCAGCGTTCACACAAAGGTCCTGGAAAAGAAGAATAAGAGGAAGATAGTCTCTGATCATAGTCAATGGATGCAATGTCTTGTCTTGCGTTCTCCCTTCTACCTCCACGCTTCTTTCCTCTCTTTTCACCAACCCACCATAGTCAACCTATCCCTCTATTGACGATGCAAACGGTAGGTCTCTCAAGAACTCCTTTCCAGTTGGTAAAGTCACTGTCTCCAACGCAGTATCAAACACGCGGAAGGACAACACCAGTCCAAGCAACTCTGGCCTTCAGAAGTGAAGCACCGTCTTTCCTACACGGCAACGCCACCAGGTAATTCCAGGTGAGCCTCTCACTCTTTCACCTTTCTCCGCTTTGCACAGAATGTAATCGTCCCTCACACCTCACTCTCTCTTTCTCACGCTAAGCTTTGGTGCAGGGCACCTTCTATTCTAGCTATGGCTACTACAGCTATCACTCTCACTCTCACTCTCACTCTTTGTCTGCCTTCTTCCAACACTCTGACAGCAGTGCTTAATCTGCTGATGGGCCTCCTCATAGGTGCAGCTAAAGATGAGGATGTCATTACGATCACAAGAGAAATGATTCATGCAAGACCAAACAGCATGACGAGGAACTCGTAGTGGCCATGGTGGCAACGAGAAGTAGTCTTACGGGTTGCTGAGATCTGGATCTAATGAAAGCCACTGTGAGGGCAACCTTCGTGAAATACTGGGCCCCACAGAGGCCATCACGAAACCTCGGAAATCCTAGGCATAAGGTACTGGTTCTTGGTCATGACCCAGTTTAAGGCACGGTAGTCTACGCAAGTGTAATTCCCTGGCTCCTTGTTTCCCAACGAAGATGCAACTCGTACCAAAGGGTGAAGTGCTAGGTCGAACGAATCCTTTCTTAAGGACTTCCTTGAGTTTGCGATTCATCTCTTTGGCCTCGGCGAAAAGAGCTGGTTGGGAGGGCAAAAAGGAGTGTGTGAGGGCTCCAAGTCACTTGCATGGGAAACACTCTAGTCAGTAGAGACGCTGGTGGGCAAGGAGTCGAGAAAGACGTCCTCAAACTTATCTAGTAACGATGCAGTGTCGGAATCGGAGGTAGGAGGTTGATCCGATTTGCCCCAAGAGAGGTGATCTTCTGGACGCTCAAGGTTGATGGGATCGTGAAGAAAGCGAAGTCTAGGTTGAGCTCAAGCATAGTGGAGCAACAGATGGTGGGTATATGATCAGCGAAGAAGGGCTCGACGTCAAGAGGAGACCAGGCACACAAGTGGGCAATGCCAAGAGATCTAATGGCAGAGGTGATCTCTGCAGCAACGGAGTATCCGGCAGACAGCGGCAGGTCACTGCCAATAAGAGGTGGACCCCATTGCTTGGCAGTTTCTTGGCAGCAGGGAAGTGTCTGGAGACCCGAATCCTTACCGCCAGTGATGGGCAAGAGGAAATGGGCACACACAGCGACAAGAATTTTCGGCAGACCCGCCGCTGTTTGTTACGCGGTCAGGAAAACTTGCCCTAAATGGGGGGGCAAGTCGACCTCCGCTTTGCTCGCTCCTCATCCAATCCCTGAACCTCCTTTCCATATGCAATGGCTAAACTGGAGGGTTGCGCTCCTGCCCCCCCCCCCCCCCCCCCCCCCTCCCCCTCCAACTTTCACGATGCCCATGACCGACGGAAATGGACAAACACAACAGAGTGAAAGCGTATGACCGATAGTTTCAGAGCATTTTGGCTGTGCGCTGCAGAAGTATGTGGAGTCTCAAAAACTGCTTTCCAAAATTCCAAGTCTTTCCACCAAGCCTGTGGGATCCGGGCCGGTCTGAGATCCGTAATTCCAGGACAACCGTACGGGGCTTAAAGCACCAAGTACACCACACATCGGCCAGCGGGAGTCAGCATGAAACCCACATCACTTCGGAGGCCGTCGATTTTTTTTCCAACGGACCCCCACGCCGTGTGACCCCTCCGAGTTTTGCTGGTGGTGACAAAAACTTTCTGCAAGGCTGGGGCCGTGTACTCGCGGTTTAAGTGGACAAGGGCTGAGAAGTGGAAGGTTCGGAAGCAGCGGTGGTGGAATGCGGGTTGGCCAGCCCAACTTTGGGTCTAGCAATGAACCATCCTGCATTTGAGAAATCGCCTGTTGGTGCCCGAGTTGTCTGTACCTAAAGCAATCTCGTTGCTCGAAAAGTTGGGTTCCCGCTATGCCGGTCAATTCGGACAGCCTATTTGTGTGGGATGAGGTAGAGGGACAGACGCTTCCTCCTCCTATACGTGTTGAGAAGGTGAATGATGTTGTTTTCCCCTGGTTAACATGGTCACGTATGTATTCACCTCATTTTGAGCTCTTGTGGTCACAGGTGTTATTGGGAGAGAGGAGGCTGAAAGAGGAAGGGACATTTGGAACGATGTTGTGGTGGAATTTTGGTTTTTGGCGGGACGGCTGGATGCCCTGCTGCGTGAGATGGTGATCTTGATAGATGGCACCGAGGAGTGAAGAAGGTCCATGAGAGGCTTGAGGCTCGTAAATGAGGGTGGCTGCAACCTCCAAAAGCGGTACCCCCCCTTGTAATCCCTTTTTTTTTCTTTTTTTTTTCTTTTTTTTAATACGGGCCCAGTGCCCAAGGCTGATATTACCAATAAGAAGATTGAGGCCGGGGTCCTCACAGTCTACCCGGAGTGTCCGAACAGAACATGCCAAGAGCCGGGCTCAGCATCCCTCAAATGATGATGATGATGATGATGATGATGATGATGATGATGATGATGATGATGATGATGATGATACTGATGATGAATTCTATGTAAAACTATGAGATAATCATACCAATGATGATGATGCTGAAGATGATGATGATTAGTATAGAAAATTATAAAAGACTATGCTATATCAGCAATTCTGGTCTCCTAATCCTGGAACAACTCCTAGCCCTCCCTGTAGCAAGACATTACATTTCAGAGACAATGCCATCCTTACCAACGTCAATCATAGCTGCCTGTTCTCGCCACCTTGACTATCCCTGGACCCATAGGTTGTCAAGGCAGCCCCCCCCGGTACGCCGCTGGATTGCCTTCCTCCCTCAGCTAATCCCCAGATCTCTCTACAAGGCCTCACACTCCTGCCATTGCAGGTTACAGGGCAACACCCCAGCTCCGGCCACCGTCGTTCTGGCATCGGCAAACCAGGGGCACAGAACAAAGCAACTCTGCAGATATCAGTCTAGATTCGATCATCTCTGAAATCTTATAATCCCGAATGAGGAAGAATGCCAGATGCCACCAAGAGTTACAGAACACCAGAAACTTTTTTTTTTTTTTGGAAGTCCAAGAGAAGCTATGAGCTACACCAGCAACACCTGTCCTCTCAATCCATAAGCAACTCTCAGCCTCCCCTGTATCAGACACAGCACTTTCCAAAGCAATATCTACCTAGCCAAAAACCAGCTATAGCTGTCGTGCTCTCCCTGCCAAGACAAAACCCCGACCCCTTAGGTTTATCATGACAGTCTTCCCCAGTCCACCACTGGATTGCCTTTCTCCCTCGACGAATCCCCAGATCTCTCTACCAGGCCTCACGCTCCTGCTACAAACAGGTTACAGGGCTACGCCCCAGCACCGGCCAGCGTCGTTCTAGCGTCGGTAAACCAAGAGAAAAAGCACAACACAGCTGTGCCAGGCGTCGGCCAGGCTTCTACTACCTCTAAAATACTGTGTCCGAAYTAGAAAGAAACTAAGATATCRCCAGGAAAGAAAAAACAGATGAAAACTGACATGACATAGTGTTGGTGATCAGTTCGAAACTATACACACTTGTCCTGGATCTTTAAAGACAGTCGTCTGTCTCCCASTCCCGTACATAGCACTAGAAGTTAAACTTGGAAACGATTGAAGAAATCTCCTCCCCCCCCTCACCTTCCCCATCCCCCTTGTCCCAGCGCTGCCTCTACCGAAGAGAAACACCGTGATTGCAGGCATTCTCCATTGGCGCCAGCTTGGGACAGACCCCCTCCCCCCTGTTCCTTCAAAGGCATCCAATTCCCGCCTAAAGTATGCCTTTGGCAAACCTCTACCCTAATCTGCCCCCGCTAGGATATGATGCTGCATTGTACATCTATCCCAGCCCCAGAATAGGGCAATCCCCACACTCTGCCCCCACCCCCTTCGGGGCATTCACCCCCCACCTTGTGAGGCCCCTGCGGAGTAGAGCTCTCCCCCCCAACACCCAACCACCATCCTCCAAAAGGGAAACATCAGATCACACTGGAGGAGAAAACAGAATTTAGGCTCCCTTTGAGGGAAAAAAAAAAAAAAAAAAAAAAAGAAAAAAAAAAAAAAAAAAAAGAAAAAAAAAAAAAAAAAAAAAGGACACGAGGCATTTAGATCTCCGGATTAAATTCAAGGATGCTAAAATTGAGTGCTAATTAGACAAAGGAAAATATAAATTTCTTGATAANGATTAAATTCAAGGATGCTAAAATTGAGTGCTAATTAGACAAAGGAAAATATAAATTTCTTGATAATTGATAGCGAGTAGCGAATAGCCAAAGTCGATGMAAATGAGGTAAAACAACGTATTACCGTTGTTTTTTAGATTTTTAGGTATTTRAAGAAATACCTTATAGCTATTTTTAGGTAAAAAATACCTTTTCAGTCAGTTCAGTGATACAGAGATACAGATTTCAGATARATAAGAGAAGATTAATAGGATGTATTATTAGGTTGATGAATCAGTTGATTAATTAACTGATGACTCGGATGATGAATATGATGATGCATTAGTTGATG